ACAATAAAAGCAGAGACCCATCCTGTGATATCAAATAGTGTTTAGTGCCCTGAGGAAGGAAAAGCAGGGTAAGTGGCAGAGAAGGGTCCCTATTTTAGAGAAGGTGGTAAAGGAAGGTCTTTCTGAGGAAGTAATCTTTGAGCTAATACCTACAGAAAATGAGAAACTGTCTTATAAGTGCCTGACAAAGACCATTCAGTCTAGGGGCTAGCACATGCACAGGCTCAGGCAGCACATGCTCAATTAGTGTTCGTTTCTTCTGTTGTGACAAGATCTGAGGACTGGCTCTCATGACCTTGCACCTTCCTCCTTCTGTCCCCCTACCTCTGGCATTCATGCTGATCTTGGTGAAAAAAATTTCTTTTTTTTTTTTTAAATTTTTTTTTAAGATTTTATTTATTATTTATTTGACAGACAGAGATCACAAGCAGGCAGAGAGGCAGGCAGAGAGAGGAGGAAGCAGGCTCCCTGCTGAGCAGAGATCCTGATGTGGGGCTCAATCCCGGGACTCTGAGATCATGACCTGAGCCGAAGGCAGAGGCTTTAACCCACTGAGCCACCCAGGCGCCCCGGTGAAAAGAATTTCTGATGAAAATAAATTCTGGCCCAATCTGGCTGAAAAATTCTGGCCACCTCTGTTAGGAATGCTGTGCTCAAAGCAGGGATTGGGACAGCAACCCGGGAGAGGAAGGATTTGACCACAGCTGCCACCCTTCACCTACTGTCTTCAGCATCACAACCAGGGAAGAAGTAAATTAGGGCATTTCTACCTTCACGAAGTACCCCACAGACACTTATCCTGTATTCAACAATAACCTCAGCCACAAGTGCATAACATCAGCACACGTATTTTCAAGTTCAAAAAGGAAACATGTTCCTATAGTTTGGGGGAGATCTGGTTCTTCTAACCATGGGGGAAAAGGAGGGACCCTCCATCTGCTGCTGTTGTGTTTATAGAAGAGAGCTCAATCAGGGAGCCCTCCTGCCTTACCCTTCATTTGGACCACATAATTTCACAAGGGAGGAATCCGAGCTCCCCCAACTCACTACTTAGACACATACAAACACACCCCCACACCCCTGGATAAGCTCTGGGGAGTGTGAGGCAGGCTGTACAGCCACCCTCCTGGAGGCAAGGCCCAGCCAAACCTTTTGGGACCCCACCTGGTGAACTCTGTCTTGGGTCTGACCTATTTTCTAGGAGAGAAAATAGAATATAGATTTAAATGCAGTGGTGCTCTGGAAAACTACAGGCCCAGCAGTGTGAGAAAAGAAAACAGTAGGGGGGAGCAGAGGAAATGCTGATATGGGTGAGGATGCCGTCTCTCCTGGATCAATCTTACCTGGTCGTCAACTGCCTTTTCTTCTGCAATTTGCCCCCATTTTTCTCCATTAAAAATTGATATATCTACACGAATTTACATATTTATCTTTCCTCTGACCAGTCCTGGGGCTCAGTGCTCCTCCCCCAGACATAGACTCCAGGCTGAAGACCATTAGTAAGCACAGACAGAGGGAGCTCTGGGGATGGTCACCCTGGAAGTGGGACAGCAGCAAGGCATGGAGTCAGAAACACCCTCAGCTGCATCCTAGATCAGCCTTCCTTGCCTGTGTGACCACAGGAAAGACTTTTAATACTCTTGTCCTCTCATATATGAAGGTAATAAAATTACAAGCTAATGTTGAGGGCTTTCTAAAGGTAGGTACTGTTCCAAGCTCTTCACAACCACCCTAGGAGATAGGGACTATTATCATACCGATTTTACAGATGATAGAACTGAAGCACAGAAAGATCTAGTAGCTGACCCAAGGTCTACACAACCTGTAGACCCAGAGCCTGAATCCTGGCAATCCAGCTGTGGATCTCGCTCTCTGCGCCAATTCCTATGGCCTGGCCTGAGTCACATGGCCACACTTAGAGCTAAGGTGGGGTCATCTTTACCAAGCCGCATGGATTAAGGGTGGGAAAGGGTTCCCCAAAAGATAGCTGGGACTTGTGACACAAAGAAGGAGTAAAGCATGGACAGACAGTATAACAGGTGAATATGGTTGAGGTTCTGATTCCCTCTTGCCCCTGTCAGGCTTTGCCATTTCATTCTGTTGGTCAGAATTGAATGTGGAGATTCAAATTACTCACTGCTTCTTGGGACAGGGGCCAGGTTACACTATATGTCTCTATTTCATGCTAGACACAATGCTCAGAACTGCCTCCAGCTCACTGACACAACTAGAAACTGAGGCTGGACCCTGACCCCTCACTGAAGGAGGTTTTTCTTGGTGTTCTTGTTGCCCCTCTTTGGCAAGAAGAGATGCTGTGTGTTTTATGCTCAGGGCTAGAACTGAGGCCAGTTAAAGCTTTAGGAGGGAATGGAATTTTCTTGGACCCCTGTTCCTGTTCTACAACCTTTTAATTCCTCCTTGCCCTACTTCCCACTGAGGAAGAGGATGGGAGGAAAAAGACCTAAGAGAGGGGAGGGCTGGAACAGATCTCTTCATTCATAAGCAGAAGAGTTGAACTGAAATCACACACACACACACACACACACACACACACACACACACACACACACAGAGCCTTAATTCCTGTAGGCTCTTGGTGTTTCCAGGGAGCCTTCTGGTCAACATTTCTTGATAATTCTGTCTATGGTCATTCAAATTGGTAACAATCAGCACAGGTAATATTTATGCAGTGTTTGCCTTGTACTGAATTAAATGCTTTAAAAGTATTTAATCTTCTAACACTGCCATGAAGGAGGTTCTGTTCTCTTCCCTTTGTATAGCTGAGGCAAACAACTCAAAAGTTCTGTAATTGACCCACAGCCTTTCAGTAGGCTGGGTTTTGAACCCAGATCTGTCTGTCTCCAGAGTTTAAGATTATAAACACAATGTTCAAATGGGCAACTTAGTTTCGAAAGAACTTTGGAGTTCCATGATATCCTGCCTCCCTTGGGTGTTGGTGCTTCCAAGAGCATGTTTCCATGAACAACAGTGTTGAAAGTCCCACCACTGAACTCCCCCACATGTAAATAGTTTGATATCCTGCTTAATGAAAGGGTATTCTAACGACCACTATTCTAGGCTGTCCATCAGTCACAGTTAATTGCCCTGCTTAGTTATTTATACAGAGTGTTTTCCCTTCCCATCTCTTCTATTTTGCCACTTTTCTTCTTGCTGCCACTCTACCCTGAATCTCAAACAACTCACCAGAAAATCTGAAAGGGGGTGTGGCTGAGGAATGATTCAGAGCTCTCTAGAAGTCTCTTTGGGCAGATACAGCTTCTAGGGAATACAGGGTGTGGACTGGAGAAATGCTTAGCTGTTGCTGTGAATTTGCCCCTCCTGGATGTAGGGGCACAGCTCTGTTAGGTCAGCACCTGGATTTTCCTGCGGCAAGAGTTCTAGTGTCTATGGATCTTGCTGAAGCTTGACAAATCTGATTGCAGCAAATTAGAGGCACAGTAAATAAAACCCATGACTTACTCACAGGGTAGCTAAGAGGGTCTCCTCCATGGTTCCAGGGTGCTCACTTTAGCTATGAACTGAATTTGGGTCCCCTATGCCTCTGAGGAACCTGGGTTTCCATTGAACAAATGTTGAACTGGGTGGGATTCAAGGGGTCTAGAGTCTTATGTAGTCTCTGTACCTGAACTAAGTGTGTGACCTTGGGCAAGTCTCTCAACCTCTTTCATCCCCCCCACATCTTAACCAAAAATGAATTAAGCTAGATGATGTCTGTGGGTGTCCCAGGTCTACCATTTTGTGATTCTAAGTGCGTCACCCGGGATTGTTAGGATGGCCAATGGTTTCCTGAAGCAGCCCCCTGTTCCATCTCCTCAGAAAGGTATATCCTTTCAGGTTGGGTCTAGAGGTTTGTTTCTTTGTTTGTTTAAGATTTTATTTATTTATTTGAGAGGTAGAATGAGAGGAGAGAGCATGAGAGGGGAGAGGGGAGAGGGAGAAGCAGACCCCCCCGCTGAGCAGCGAGCCCAATGTGGGACTTGATCCTGGGACTCTGGGATCATGACCTGAGCCAAAGGCAGTTGCTTAACCAACCGAGCCACCCAGGTGCCCCGGGTCTAGAGGTTTTGACAAAGCTCTGGCTTGCTTTCGATTTGGCTTCTCAGCAGGATTCTATCTTACACTTGAGGGGAGGAGGAGGAGATTGTGTTCATGAGGATGATGGGAGTAAACCGCTCTTCATTTTTTGAAAGTTCATTGGCTTAATTCAAATGTCAACCTTCCTAGGGCTGGATGTCTATTAGTAGTTGTGAAAAGTGATTTCGAATGGCAATTCCTGTCATTAATGATGGGGTGAAAAGCAAGAAGAAAAATTAAAGGGGGAGGCAGAATTTCAATTTGTGTGGCAAATGATCTACTCACACACAATCTCCCGCATACACACTGCTGTCTGTGATGAAGGATGGTCACTGGGAATACTGGAGAGGGAGGGGATTATACATGTTTTGTTATCGTCTGTCCTTCAGTCCTATGTCGTAAATAATGCTGCAACTTGCTCTCCGTTCTCATGCCTCTTTTTCTTTGTTCCTCAAGGAAGTGGTTTATTATTTTTTCTCTCTGCGGGGAAACTTGCTTGACCTCATGTCCAGTGTTCTGTACCTGGAGGCAAGGAGGATTTGCTTGGGTGGTGTTATGCAGAAATCAACCAGAATATTTTAACCGATATTCTTGCAGGATTCCAGTCTGCTTGGCCAGAGCCCTATCTGATTCCAGGATGATATCTTTCCGGACAGATGTGCAGCTCACCTCTCTTGCTACATGCACAGTGGAAAGGGAGCTTGGTCCCTCGGCTTGCATGGGTGGTTTTTGGGTGAAGGTAGAACTAAGTGCTCAGAAGCTGAGTACCTCTGGGGTCTTGCATGAACATGATAGTCATGCAAGGGCACATTGCACTGTGTGTGTGTGTGCTTCTAACACTCTTCTTCCTTTTTCTCCCCCTTTCTCTCCTCTGCCTTTCCCTCTCTTTGAAAATGCTGCCACAGATGTCAGTCAAGGTCCAGGTGAGTCTCTGTGTTTACACAGCTGCCGTGGAAATTTCCCCTCTGCCAGATTGTGCATGGTTTGATTCTGAGTGAGACCTTTTTCTAGGGGCTCTAAACAGAGCAGAGATCTAAGTACACTGCATTTTCATTGATTTGGGTTGAGAAGAAATGCCTTGAATTGATGTATTCGTATTGGTTTTGAAAACCATTTTAAAACCAAAGGAATGTGATTCCCATGCTTATACAGTCACCTCCTTCTGATTAACATTTCTGGGTGAATCAAAGAAGTGGAAAATGAGCACTTTTGGAAATATTTTTTTAAAGATATCCTTAAGTTATGAATTCTCCAATTTAATGAGCATTTTTGCCTTATCATATCTAGATCTACTTATCTTCTATAGCTTCATGTGGTTAAAAGTTGAAGATATGACATACTTAGCATGGAAAATATGTGGGTGAAAGAAGTCTTCTTTCTTTTTATTCTAAGAAATGGCTTTCTCTCCACCTCATAATGAAATTCGCAGTTTTTAAATGGTTATGTAACCAATACATGCTCACTGTATTAACAAAAAAAAAAAAAAAAAGAAAAAGAAGAGGAGTGGTTTTTGTCAATGAACAAATGGAAGAGCCATTCTTATGCTAATTGTGCATTTCTTTTGTTAAAATGCACATTCATCCAGAGTTCTAACTGTAAGCATTGTCTGTGTGTCTGTGTGTGCACACACATGTGTACACAAATACACACACACAAGCTCATATGAGAGGATACAACCATATATGGATAAAAAGTATCAGATGACTTAGAATGATTTGGAGACTTTTCTAAACTGGATAGAATTTTGATTTAAGAGGAGTAATTAACGCTAACAAGTAAGAAGGGAATATTGTCATTCTCAGCTATTTTCACATACACTTTCTTGTTTAGTCCTTTTAATGTTGAATTCTTAAAGTATCGATACAAGGCGTAGGTACTGTTATATCCTCCATTTTAATATAGTGGAAATTGAGGGCCAGCAGTTTATGCCATTTGCCCAAGGTTGTAGGGTTCATCAGTGGTAGCACTGGGATTTGAACTTAGGACTCTGTGACTCCAAAGCCCATGCACACTCCATTGGAACACACTGAAAATTCCATCACTGAAAATTTTCAGCAGTTGAAGGTCTTGTAAACATTTCCTAACTAATGGGACTATTGTCTATTTTTCTTTAGAGATAATATGATGTTTTCATTATTAGCAGTTTTTTTTTCCCCAAATGAATTTATCCTTTTTTTTTTTTTCACTATCTAGAAGAATCAACCAGACTTAAGTAGGGTTTCTGGCCATTGATTTATGTGGTATATTACATAACATAAAAGAATAATACAGTTATCTCCCAGCTAATAAATAGGGTTTCACTGTCTTTGTTTTCTTCTCTCCACACCCTACTTTTGAAAATAAACAGTGTTCTAACTGATGCATAGGACAGCATTTCCTAGGAAGATTCCATTAGATTAATTTTGTATTTAATAATATTTTACTCAAATATTTATTGAGAACCTACTGTGTACCAGGCACTGTTGTAGGCACTAGGAATAGAACAGTGGACAAAATAGAAAACAATCGCTGTCCTCATGGATCTTTTATTCTACTCAAGGGAAGACAATGAACTATATATACACACACATTATACATATTACATATATATATGTATTATGTATATTACATGCAAGGGTGGGTGATGAGCGCTGGGGAGAAAGATGAAACTGTTAAAAACTAAGTTGCTAATTTATAGAGGAATCTCAGGAAAGGCCTCCCTGTTAAGATGATGTTTTCTGAAATACCTTAAGGTAGTGAGGTAGGAGCCCAACACTTCAAGTTTTGTTTGTAGAAGTGCCAGTTGGCTCAACCCCTCCTCCTCCTGGTTCCTGGCAGAGATGTGACCCAGGGTCCCCGTGTTGACTTGTGTGTGTTGTGGGAATGAAATCCCGCCACTGTGGGGCTGCCTCCGACCAAGGGTAGGGGGGAGGGCGCCATTTTGTAATTCTCACAAAGGCGCCTACTGGTCCTGGATGAAACAGTATGGCGGGGTGAAATGCCACAGACACACAGGCTCCTGTCTATCTTTCCAGAGGGGTGGAGGTCAGTAGGTGACGCTCCCTCACATCACAGCAACTGTAACTAGCCCCGCACAGCCCTGTTCCAATTCCACAGCCATTCTCTTATCTTATGCCCTTAATAACCCTCTGAGGTGTGTCCGCTGAGCCCCATTCTTCTGCTGAGGAAGTTGAGGCCAGGAGGTTAAGTGACATGTTGAGGTCACCCAGCCATCCAGGAGCTGGGTCAAGAGGGGCTTCCAGCCTGATTCCATATCCGCCACTCTGCTGCCCTTGAGGTGTCAGGAGCTGATTGCCAATCCTCTATCTCCCCACCCAGCCCCTTGGTTTTTGTGGTTTCTGAGCTGGAAACGGGTCACCAGTTCTGAACCTTTCCCTGGGGCAGGACAGGGCGGGAGACCACCGAGCTGCCCAGCCTGGGCTGAGGTGAACTGCCTCCTCCCGCCTCTCAGAGCCACCCAGGCAACACGGAGCCAGCAGGGTTGTGGCTCTGAAACCAGGTGCCTTGAGTGGTTCTTGGAGTTTTTTCCCCCTTCCCCACAGGAAGACAAATTGGGGATTTTATGAGCTAATGTAACTGTTTACCCAGGGGTGGCGGGAAGGCTGTGAGGGATGATTGATCAATTTTACGTGCTGAGGGTGTCGGTGAGAAGTAACCTACTGGAAGCCGTTGGCGATGGGGGCCCGCAAGAGGCACCTTCCCCAAGGTCCAGGAGACAGGCTGGGGGCGCAGAGAGACTGCTGGAAACCCTCAGGAGAAGAGGGGCAGGCCATACCTCCTGCACTTCCATGTGGGAAGACCCACGGCCCCTCCTCCTCCATCTGGTCTTGAGTTGGGAGGTTAGGATAATAGGGTAGCATCAGGCCAATGTGGTGAAGGAGAGGAGGGACACTCCATTCTGATTTAACTCTTCACATCAATCCTCCCAGGCGGGTATTACCATCCTCTCTCAGATGAGAGAGGCCTCAGAGAGGGTCGGTAACTGCCCACAGTCTCTGGCTGCTAGTACGAGACCAGGATCTCACATCCGTCTACCTCTAAAGCTTGTACTCTCTCTCTTTGAAACCCTGGCATTTCCAAGAGAGAGCTGTGGGCCAGAGGCGCTGCTTGTCATGGTCTGCATTCTTCACTTTCTGTGCGGTACGTGGGACATAGTAGGGCCTCAAAAATATTCATTGTGCAGAAAGTGTGGGAACAAGTACCAGGGCATTGTGTGTCCGTAAGGTCCTGAGGCAGCTCAAAAGGACAACTATTTTACTTTTCAGAGGAGAAAACTGAGGTCCGGGGTGGGGAAGGGACATCTACCAAGGCCAGGTAACACATTGGTGGCCTGGAGGAGACCCCTGTCAGGCATTTATCACATGCCCCTGGCCCACTGGGATTTGTTCCTGGTCTTCCTGTGCTGCCTGGGGTGTCAGTTGTGGGCAGTACCAGCCCCCTCTCTACCATGCTATGCCCTCTGCTCTCTCCCTCTTCCTGTGTGTTCCAGAACTCTCTGCCAAGGGGAGAACAAGCCCTTTGGAGGAGAGGAAGGATCTAGGGGGCCAGAGAACAGTGCTGGGGCCTGTGGGCCCAAGACCCCTCCCTTCCGCTCCCCCAGTGCCTCTCCCTGCAGCCACGAGGGGCTGCTTCTGGTGCTCCAATGACAGTCTTTCTCTTCAGAAGGGATAATTTCTCAGGCTCTGCCTGCTGATTAGAGCTGGAATTTAAATGAATAACTGTGACCTTGTGGAAGTGCCCTAGTTATTCAGAGGCCCGATGAGGAAATAGGCCTCTTGCTACGGTCCGTCAGAGCCTTGGCGGGCGTGGGAGGAGGGGCCGCTGTCTGCCAGGGCCCAGAGGAGGTCCCGGCGTGCTGTTGCCCGAAGCAACTGACGGCCTCTGCTGGAGCCTCCCTCTGCCCGCTCTTGATCTCTGCCCTCCGTGTCTTCCCTCTCAGTTTCAGTCATCTTGGGGCTGTCCTGAGAGACCGGACCTGGTGATTTATCCTGAGCCCTGCCCTGTCTCCAGGGAGGCCAGCCTGAGGGACGCTGAACCTGAAGTCAGGACGCAGCACTGTTGTGTCTGACTTGTGTGATGGACACAAAGGGTTTGCCCTAGAACTTACCGCTCAGAGATGGACCCCCAGAACCACAACACTGGCCTCACACAGGAGCTTGTTAGAAAAGCAGAATCTCAGGCCCCACCCCAGAGCTGCTGAGTCAGAATCTGCTTTTTACCAAGACACCCAGGTATGCACACATCAAGGCTTGAGACCCACTGACCTGAAGTGTCTGGCTTTTCCTCCTCTTTGGGGCCAGCGGGGCTGTGTCTACTGAGGAAGGCGCAGTCCACCACATGACTACAGGTTTCTCATCTCTTCTCCTGGGTACACAGCGCGACATGGCTCTGGGTACACAGGGGTTGGGAGGGTGACGGGGATTAGGGAAGGGAAAGGGAACGAACACTTCCTGGCCACTGAGTCTGTGGCCATTACTGTTCCGGCACTTTCCATCTAAGAGTTTACAAAGTGAGGCAGGGTAACTCAGGATAGCACAGGGTTCCCTCAGGGGCTCAGGGGCTAACTCCAACCCGTTGCCTCCTTCTGTAGGGCCTTTGAGCTACAGATGGCTTTTCACGTTATAAATAGTTGAGAGCAGTCAAAAGAATAATTTGTGATGCACATATTTTATGAAATTCCAATTTCAGTGTTCATAAAGTTTTATCAGAACATAGGCACGCTTCTTCATTTCTGCTTTGTCTCTGGTTGCTTTGCGAAGGCGGAGTGGAGTAGCTGTGTGGCGAGACGAGTCTAGAAGACTTACCATCTGGCCTGCTACAGAAAAAGTTTGCCACCCCTGGGTTAGAGCATAGACTTGGAGCCAGATGGCTGGGTTGACATCCTGGCTTTCTCCCAGTATGAACAGTAGGTGCTGTTTAAGTT